ACACCCCCTGACATCGCCGGAAGTGTGTCAGAAGGCAACACCCACCACTCAGGCTCCACTGGACTGTTTTGGATTGCTAGCTATTGGGGGGTGGGAAGGTGCGGATCTGTCCTCGCAGAGGAGGGAGAGCTTGTACCTGGATAAAACTTGGTCTTAACGGTGCCACTGGACTGTTTTGGACCAGGGGGGAGCTCTGCAGCTTACCTGGCACTTCTTGCTCTGACTGAGGGCTGCTGGGAGCAGGGGGTGGGGCTTGTTGGATGTGCCCGCCCCCTGGGCTCTTTACTGCTGGAGCTCCGCTCCTGTGCGCTCCTGCAGGAAATGACCCCTGAGCATATGCTCCATATTTTTGGGAGGGGCCACGGTTCAATGGTAGGCCATGCAGGAGATCTGAGGTTCAATACCCACTCTCTCCTGCTTAAGCTCTGGCAGCAGATTTGGGGAAGAACGGCAGGAGCCGCTTGCATGGTGTGGCAGAACAGGCCTGCTCCAGCCTGCAGGCTTTAGTCCGCCCCGCCCTCCAAGGTTTTTCCAGCCCCTGGAGTTGCTTTTCTCTCAATGGTCAGCTCCTCCAGGCCTCAGCTGAGAGTTCTGTCTGCTCTGATGAACCCCCGCACCAAAAGAGAGCTACCTCCTTGCTCCCCTGAGTTTTATCGTCCCTTTCCCCCACCACCACCACCAACTGACCAAGTTACGCCAGGTCAGCAAAGCTTTTCCTGAGTCTCTAGAATTTTCCTTCCTGAAACCTCTCTAGTACTTAATTCCTCCAAATTTTTGTTCCCTGCTTGGGGGGGGGGGAGCTCAACCATCCCCTTATCTCTCCTGCTGGATCTTTTCCTGAGTCTCTAGAATTTTCCTTCCTGAAACCTCTCTAGTACTTAATTCCTCCAAATTTTTGTTCCCTGCTTGGGGGGGGGGGAGCTCAACCATCCCCTTATCTCTCCTGCTGGATCTTTTCCTGAGTCTCTAGAATTTTCCTTCCTGAAACCTCTCTAGTACTTAATTCCTCCAAATTTTTGTTCCCTGCTTGGGGGGGGGGGAGACTGGACCTCCCTATTGTGTCTAGCTGGACCTATTACCATTTCTTAAGAGGCAGCTGAGGTAGGAAAAATGCATTTCTTCACACACAGTCAATAGTTCTGATGGATCATGCTTCGACTACTCTGTGCCGAAGGTTTGGGTGGGATACGGCCACGGTCAGCTTTTATGGTTCAGCGTGAATTTGAACCTTGGGATTCCCGCCTCTAGACACAACATTTAAGCCACTGCCCCAAGCTTAGGACACTCTTCTTCATCATGCGATAGAGGAAGCAGACGTCTAGCCCCAGGACAGTGGTTTTGAGGAGCTGTTTCTTTAACATTGAGAGTTTTAATGTTTTTTTAAGTGAACTGAAATCTGGAGGCAAGGTTCTGTTTTCAGTGGGTGGTTACAGTTAGTTCAGTGAGCTGTGTTAGGAACATCTGATTTTGAGAGACACTGACAGTGTTTGGGGCAAGGCAGCTGATAGCAAGTGATGAGCAGATGTTGATACATAAGAACGGGAGGTGAAATGGAAATTAATCCCGGATTTCAATCTGCCGGATCTTCTCTGTCCACTTTCCCCACAGCCGGATTTAAGACGACTGGAGGGCCGCTGCAGTGAGCAGTCATGCCGTCATCTGTCCAAGGGGATTGCTGTGAAACAACCAGCCACTGCCGTTGGATGAGGGACAAGCGAACCACCCTTCCTGGTAGCCGTGGGGCGGAGGCAGAGGAGGCAGGAGCCAAAGTGGGCAGCACCCTGCAGCCACGACGCGGACTGGTGGCCAGACCACACGTGTACAGTTGCACGGCGCTTGGAGGCTGATGCAGATCTGAGCTGCTGCACTGGGGAAAGAGGAGCTCATTTCGTCCCCCTTGTCCTTTCCCTGATCCACAGTACAATTCTCCCCCAGCTTGCTTTAAGCCCCTGGGGGGGGGGGATAAACTGAATAAACATTCCTTTTTCACTCTTGCTTAAAACTGGGGGGGGGGGTGTTCCAGTTATGGGAACTCCTTCTGTAATGATTCCTTGGGGGGGGGTTTGTGTGTGTCTCTTTAAAAGTTTGGTTGCATGGCTGTGGTAGATAGACTAGCGTGGTTGAGAGAGGCAAGTGTGGTATGATTGGTGGTTGACAGAGAGGGGGAGGAGTTTTGGAAGTGAATCTGGTTGGATGAGTATGTGAGTCAGTCAGGAGTTTCAGTTACACGTGGACAGTTGATGTAGACAAGTAGTTCTGTGTTGAAGCAGTTAGAAGCGGACATGCAACCAAACTTTTAAAGAGACACACACACACACAAAAACAAGGAATCATTACACCTTCTTACCCTGTACATAGTCCTGCGTCAGTCTGCAGCTGCTAGCTATTTATTTATTTATTTGATTTATACCCCGCCCTCCCCACCAAAGTTCCCTACGTGGTTTGGTTCTAAGGTGCTCTTTACCTGTACTGCCTGCTGAGTCCTGACAGTTACTGGTAAGGGCCACTCCACACACAGAGACACACACACCCCTTACCAGCTGGCAGATCATGGTCCTAGAACTATTGATTTCTTTATTTAATTCGATTTGTACCCCGCCCTCCCCACCGAAGCAGGCTCAGCTGCCATCGGATTGATTAATTAATTAATTACTGTATGGCATTGTGTGTAGGGTAGCCATGAGATCCTAAGATTGTCTGGCAGCCAGAAGGTCTAGCTCTTTAGCGTTAAGATCTCGGAAACTAAGCAGGGTTGGCCTTGGCTAGTATTGGGAAGGGTGACCTCCAAGGAATGCCAGGGTTGGGATGCAGAGGCAGGCAATGGCAAACCATCTCTGAAACATCTCTGGCCTTAAAAACAAGTCTAGCTCGCCACTGGATGACAGTCATAACAGTCAAAATTGGCTGCCCCATTGTGGGGCTGCCCTTGCACTGAATACTGTATGTGCAGCCTCGTAATGGGGCAAGAAGTGCCCCCGGGGCCACTTCAGCTCAGGTAAATGACACGGGGGAAGACTGAAGCCCCTCTTTCCCCAGTGTCATGGTCTTGATGCAGATCAGGCCCTGTGCTGCTTGGATAAGTTAAGTTCCATGCAGCTGCTGGGTGGCTGTGGTGAAAGCAAGTTGTTGGTGATTGTGTCATTTGGCCCTGAGAGTCCCTGCAGGGGTTCAGCATTGAGGCAGCCATGTGGACGTTACCTGATGGTCACCAAGAATCACCAAGGACCATGAGAGAGAGAAAAGGGGGGGGGGTTGTTACTGATGGCTTCAGGACCACTGCAGCAGATGGCTAAAACAGCCTTTCTTCAGATGCGCCCCAAGAGGCTATTGGGCGTTGTAAATAAGAAGCGGGAGACTGACCAGTTATGAAGGTGCACAGAGAGTTTATATAGTTATAAAGGTGAATATATACAGAGATATTTACAGGCTATTGAACAGCATGTCGGGCCTTAGTCTATGAGAACTGAGTCCCCCTCCAGTTTACTAAGCTGATAGCTATTATGCTAAACCCCAGCCAATCTCTAACAAGGTGATGTAATCACTAGCTCTAACAAGCCCTGAAAGAGCAACACCTGCTAGAAAACACCTGGCTGTAATTACAAGATTACTAGCATGACAGCTAGGTCTGACAAACAGATCAAACTGATCTATAGTAACTGCTTGCAACCTCTATCACTCTGACATATATCTCAATAGAGGCCAGGGCCTGGTGAGAGTTGCTGGTTTAACAGGGTGTACCAGTGACTTCTTGGGAGGCTGTATAGAGCCAGGATTGCTGGTAAAGCCTGTAAAAGGTAAACAGAGCCTGCCAGTCTTCTTTCCTCCCTCCAGATGCCATTCTCTCTTCTAAGGCGGAGTTTGCTCTTTGCTCTTGTGTTCTGAGCAATAGCGAAACTGGAGAGCAGGGGCAGCAATGATGTTCCACGTCCTCACTCCAGTCCTGCTTCTGTTCCAACCTGATAGTTGCTTGGTGCAGATATGCTTTGAGTCCTCACTTAGTGCACCAAGAGCACAACATGGACCAAGTAGACAGAGTAAACCTCTTCTCTGTTTCTGAAAGAAGAGAACTTGGAATGTGATGGGTGGTAGATTCAGGAGAGACAAAAAGCCAGGTAGCTACCTTATGAGGCTGACTGCCATAGGATCTGGTGTAGTGGGCTTTTTATGAGACTTACTGCCATAGGATCTGGTGTAGTGGGCTTTAAAAGGGGCCTCCGCAAATGTGTGAAGGCTAACAGCCATCCGTGGCAATGAGGGCTGTTGTGTATTGAAAACTATGTTAAGCTTGAGTCTGAACCAGGATTGTAAATAGACCAATCAGAGCTGCGCAGTGTTCTGGAGGGAAGCACTCTGATTGGACCTTATCTATAAATAGTTATTGGTTGTTAACTGGCATGTGGGCGTGGCTACCTAAGCCCGGACTGTTTAAAAGAGAGCCTGTTGCTCTGTTTTTGTCTCATTCTGATTTCTTCTGACTTAGTTAAATAAAGCTGATTCACTGTTCACTAGCTGTGTCGAGTCTCGTACTTAACAAGGGCGAAATGCTGACTACCATGTTGAGAGGCAGTATGGCAGTGGTTGGGGGTCAGCAATGGGGAGGCTTATGGCATCTGGTTGGCCATTGTGGAAAATGGGGCTGAACTTGATGGGCCATTGATTCGATCCAGCTGGGCTCTTCTGTTCATATACCTAATGCAATCCAATGCACACTTATTTCATTTGTTAAAAATATTTATATCCTCCTTTTCTCCCTGTCGATGGGACTTAATACAGCACACATAATTAAAACTGCCTAAACTCTCATTTCATATGAATTCTGTTGAATTCCGTGGGGCTTACTTCCAAGTAATCATACACAGGTTTATAAACTTACATGCACTCTGCCTCCTTTTCGGTCGCCTCCTCCCTTTTTTATCCTACTGTTTCCATCCAAATTGCTTAAATAATCAAGTTACTGTAGCCGCTTTTAATGGTGTTCCTTTCCCTTTGTTCTTCCACAGGACGGTTACTTCTCCCACCGCCCCAAAGAGAAAATGAGAACCGACAGCAATAATGAAAATTCAGTTCCGAAGGACTTTGAAAATATCGATAATAGCAACTTTGTGCCCAGGACACAGAAGCAAAAGCGCCAACCAGAGCTGGTGAAAAAGCCCCTTAGCAAACAGAAAGAACACTTGAGGAAAAAACTGGAGCAGGAGGAGAAGGTGAAGGAGAATTATCTCCTGGGAAAGAACTCCAATGAAGTGCTGCCGTTCCGTAACCAGGCCCAAAAGAACAGCAGCAGCTTCAAGGATATTCACAGCGCTCCCAAGCAGCATCACTTTAAAAAGAGTGGGAACAGTTCACCTGAAATTAGGTACGAGCAGCCACCCAAATGCGAGATTTCAGGCAAGGAGGCGATATCGGCTTTGTCCAGAGCCAAGTCAAAGCAATGCCGGCAGGAGATCGCAGAGGTTTACTGTCAGCACAAGCAAGGGAAGCTTATGCCGGAGCAGGTGACGCGGTTCTGTCCTCTGGAAGGTAAGCTGGGTTAAGGCAAAAGTGGGGAAGTTGTGGATTGTTTAAGTTTTGTGCCCACTGCTATTTTGGGGGGAGGGACTGTGGTCCAGTGGCAGAGCACGTGCCATGCAGGTGAAAGTCAGGGATCAGACATAGGGAAATGTCTTTTCCTGCCTGGGATCCTGGAACGCTTTTGTAGTGAGCGTAGACATCGCTGAGCAGATGGGTCAACAGTCTGACTCAGAATAAAGCTGCTTCTCAGGGCTCTTTTTGTAGAAAAAGCCCAGCAGGAACTCATTAGCATAATAGGCCACACCCAACAGCAAATCCATTAGCATATTAGGCCACACCCAACAGCAAATCCATTAGCATATTAGGCCACACCCTGAAACTCCCGCTTATTAGCACATTAGGCCACACCCCCATGTTACCAGAAGTGTGGTCATCCAGCCACACCCACCTTTCCCTTCTTTTTCTGTTTACCTCGTTTGTTGTCCAAACCCAGGGCTTTTTTTTGTAGCAGGAACTCCTTTGCATGTTAGGCCACACACCCCTAATGTAGCCAATCCTAATGAGTGTCTGCTGTTGGGTGTGGCCTATTATGCTAATGAGTTCCTGCTGGGCGTGGCCAACTCAGGAGCCAGCCGGAACTCCGTTCCTGTGCGTTCCTGCCCAAAAATAGCCCTGCCGCTTCATATGTTCATAAGCAGAGCCGCAGGGCTGGCGTGCACAGGAACCCGTGTTCAGTCCTTGGCCATCCCCACTTAAAGATCACACATTTCAATCTGTCTGTAACACGAAAATTGCAGCCTCAGTGTATCTTGGGGCTGTGCAGGGAAGGGAGACGGCGTTTAACCCTTATCCTCCAATTGGTTTCACTGTTCAAAACTGGGCTTCTTGGTTTGTTGTCACCTGTTGTTACCATTTTAAAGAGAAAATTCTGTGTTTTTAAAGGACATGTTTTTTCCCTCTCCTTTAAAATATGCGTTCTTTTTGGGAACAAAATTAAAAATGGAACAGGGGAAAAGCAGGAAACTTTGGGTTGCTCCCTACCAGCGAAGCTCTGAGCTCATACCAAGCAAATGCATTATAGCCGTGCATACTCAGTTTGGCCACAGACTTCTCCTTGGGCTTGGCAGCCTCTTCCTGTCTTTGGAAACTGAAACCAAACTGCATCTTTTCCTCAAAGCACAGATAATCTCCCCTCCCTCCCCCGCTTTTGAGACTGGCCCCACCTCGCAATGGCCATTTTGTAGAGGTGCCCCCTACTCTTTCTCAAGAATTCCAAAGTTTCCCACAGACCCATTGAGGTTGGGGGGTTGTATTTGACCATAGTAGGGTTGTCATTTCCCAGGTCTGTCTGGGGGAACTCCTCTGAACATGGCGATGGGGGAGAAGGGGGAGGGTTGTGATTCAGCATCTCACCAGGGCTACAACGTCACTTTCAGTATGAACCAGAAGTGACGTCATTGTGTCAGTGCAGTGCTCTAGGATTCACCCCAAACTCTAAGGTTAGTTAACCTTCAAGCATTGCGCTGATGCAATTACGTCACTTAAGAACATAACATAAGAACATAAGAGACGCCAGTGTTGGATCAGGCCAAAGGCCCATCCAGTCCAACACTCTGTGTCTCACAGTGGCCAGAAATACCAGGTGCCATCAGGAGGTCCACCAGTGGGGCCAGGACATTAGAAGCCCTCCCACTGTTGACCCCCCCCAAGCACCAAGATGACAGAGCATCACTTGCCCCAGAGCCCCTATCTATACCTTGTGGCTAAGAGCCACTGATGGACCTCTGCTTTCGTCTTTTGACAGAAGGGACATCGTGCCATGAGCATGAGTCTGATCTGGAAGGTCCCTGCCCCCTGCAGCCTCCTGCTAAGTGTCAGTGCTGGTCTGGCAATCCACGACCAATGTTCTGTCTAAGCTGTGGAGTCTTGTGAGCAAAAATCCTACTTTGTGAGCGACCGGCATTAAAGTTGTGAGCGAGCGATTTGGGCTGCTGCATAAATTAGTTTGCTCTGGAGCCCTCCTTCCTGAGCTGAGACGAAAAGGTGTGAGCCGGAGGCTAAAAAAACTGTGAGCTAGCTCGCACTCACTCAGCTTAGAGGGAACACTGTCCAGGACCCTAGAGAACTTGTGGCTGCAAATTTCAGTATTTGTGCACTGAAATACTGAGGTGGGGGGGAAGAAGAAGTAAACTGCTGGCTGTCAGACTTGCATGAAGTGAAACAGAAGGCTGGGGGGAAGGACCAATGTGTGGGGACGTACCAAGGGAGGACAGCAGGGCTTTGTTTGTCTCTGTGTATGAACGTAAAGCAAAGTGGTCTTATGACTGAGGAGCGGAATTCAGCTCAGCTCAGCTCAGCTCTTTGATTTGGCTGGTTGACAGCAAAGGCAGAGTCCTCTGGCAGGTGGAGGAGAGTTGCTAATTTTGGTGGTGGGAAATAAAAAACAGAGTCTAGTGGAAGGAACCCAAGATATGGTGTAATAAATAGCACATGACTCCTTTTTTAAAATGTTGCTGTTGGATTAGGGGGAAATAGTTGATTGACGTGAACTACCACGGAGTTTCCACCCTAAAGATGCGATCAAAGAAGTGTTGGGGGGGGGAGAGAAGGGAGGAGATTGCCTCAGTACCCCCCTGTGCTGAAATGTATGAATTGCGTCACCGCACAGATTGCTTGGCAGGCATTGCTCCCACTTTCTTTTTACCAAAAACATCCTAATATTCCCTCATATATGTATTTGCTTACTTTTTGGGGTGGGGGGGGGCTTCCCAGAGTGTGCAGCAGCTTTGGGCTTGTCCGTGGGCACCCTGGTTTTGTTGCTGGCAAGACTGGCATGAGCGAAGAGCTTTACAGACCAGGGGCCCGTGATGGTAACCTCACATAGGTCTAGATCGCTCCCACCTAGAGATGTAAAATTTCCAGAAATTTTGAAGCTCGGGAAAAAAAACGTTTTTTCCCCAGTTTTTTCCGGGGGGAAACGGAAATTTTCAGAAAAATTGAAAAAAATGCTACATTAGCATTTCTTTTGTCTTTTCTAGATCGAAAGTCATTCTGTTACTTTAGGAACATAAAATATGACTATGGAAATTTTTATTTGGCATGAAATTATCACAACTAGCATATTAAAAATATAGTGTATCCAAACAATTATTACAAACAGAATACCCACCCACATACAAAAACAAAACTGAAACCTTTTTCTTTTCTCGTGACAATAGCACCTGCTAAAGGAAGAAATGCATATTGTTCTTGCATTGGAGAGTTCAGTTTGTAACCTAGGACTTGCTTATCCTCAGTGCACAGAAATTAGCTCAATCTGATACCATATATATATATATTAGAAATGATTTGGAAAATATTTGAACACCTTGTCTTAAAATATTTTATTCATCATGTTAATCATAATCAATTATTTTCTTTTCTTTTTTCAATTTTTCCAATTTTTCGGAAAAAAACAAAAAAAGAGTAGGAAAAAAGTGGGGGGGGGGGGGACAGACGATTTTCCCCTGAATTTTTCCCGTTTTTTTCCTGGCCTTCACATCTCTACTCCCACCAGGATTCTAGAAGTCATCTCTTTCTTTTAAAAAATTTTCTTTAACTGATTCTCAGTTGCCGTTCACACTCTGTGCTTCCTAGACCATGCTCAGCAGTGTTCCCTCTAAGCTGGGGCCTAGATTCTTGGCTCACAGTTTTTTAGCCTCCAGCTCACGCATTTTTGTCTTCGCCCGGGAATTTAAAATTTTTCTTTAACTGATTCTCGGTTGCCGTTCACACTCTGTGCTTCCTAGACCATGCTCAGTCGTCAGGAGCTGGAGCTGGGGCCTAGATTCTTCCTTTGTTACCTTTACCTCTCCCTCACCACTGTTCCCCCACTAGGAGAGCCAGCTTGGTGTAGTGGTTAAGAGCGGCAGCCTCCCCACTCCTCCTTCTCCTCTTGATGCCAGCTGGGTGACCTTGGGCCAGTCCCGGTTCTCTCAGAGCTCTCTCAGTCCCACCTGCCTCACAAGGGGAGAGGAAGGGAAGGTGATTGTAAGCCTCTCCAAGACTCCTTCGGGTAGTGAAGAGCAGGGTATAAAAACCAACTCTCCTTCTAGGAAGCCCCCCAGGTCCGTAAGTGCCCCCATTTTGCTGCCTTCCTAACTGGATCCTGACTGCAGTCTTTGCTCTTACAGGCAATGATGATTTCTAATTCAAAAGAGGGTTGTCATTAGGGATGTCTGCTACATATATACTCAAAAATACATAGGTATTTTTCAGGTATGTTCAGGTATCCAGATAATACTCGGGATCCTCAGCAATGCCGGCATCCGGTATTCAGGGCGAGCATTTTAAGGAAATAATGGGGACAAGTAGGATGGCTGGGAATACCTTGTTCAGGGGCCCATAGAATTGGACCCCTTGGTCCAGTTAGCTTGAAACTTGGGGGCAGTCCTTGGTCCCCTGCAATTTTAGTATCATTGGGTTGAAAAACAGCCACTCCAGCCCTCCTGAAAAAAGTCTCCATAGGGAATAATGTAACTCAATTATGCAATCCTGGGGGGGGGGGAACAAAACCCAACTCCCAAAACAGTATTGGGGGATCCAAATAGAATCATAGAATCCTAGCGTTGGAAGGGACCTCCAGGGTCATCTAGACCAACCCCCAGCACAATGCAAAAAAATTCACAAATACTTCCCCCACACACACACCCAAGTGACCCCTGCTGTATGCCCAGAAGAGGGCAAAAAAACTCCAGGACCCCTGGCCAAACTGGCCTGGAGAACAATTGCTTCCTGACCCGAAAGTGGTGATCAGCATTTCCCAGGGTGTGTAAGAAAGGGCCACAATAACTAAGCACTGATGCTACCCTTCCTGCCTCTCCCTTCTCGTGATCTGCCTAAGCTCGCAGAATCAGCATTGCTGTCAGATGGCCATCTAGCCTCTGTTTAAAGACCTCCAAAGAAGGAGAGCCCACCACCTCCCAGGAAGCCTGTTCTACTGAGGAACCACGCTAAAGGAGGAACTGTCA